ATAAAGAATTTCCATGGCCCACGTACTTGATCTTTGAAAAGAAAACCCACAAAATATAATTTAAAAGCCAAACGTCCAAAACGAATTAACCTGAAGTGAAATTCTGGCTAAGACTGAAGCAGTTGCACAGCAGAAGTCCACACAAGAACAAGCAACTGCAATAAAAATGACAATAAGACAAAGATATGTAATTTCAGCTTAAGAAACAGAGGAAAAAGAACATCAGAAAGAAATGGATAAGAAAATAATGTAAAGATGGGAAGTAGTGAAGGGATGAAACATTTCACCTGATTGTAAACTCGATAACAATATGAACTTGTGAAGGATAGATCACGCAGAGAAAAATGAAGATGAGAACATGAGAATGGGAATCCTTTCCGTGGATGGAAGAAAGTAGAGAGACGACAAAATTGAATAATTGAAGAAGAAAACCAAAACCCCGGCCCACACCAATACTGTTTGTGTTTGGTTTTACTTTTAGTCAATTTAATATTAAATGCTTGGGGTCCACCTCAACGGCAGATTCACGTAATCTAGTTTTTTTTTTTTTTTTTAGCAAAATATAGTTTTGATCTCGAGGTGTGAGGTACGTGTTTAATTGGTCCCTTAAATTTCAAAATTAACGCTTTTTGCGCCTGAGATTTAAGGTAGGTGTCTAATTGGTCCCTAAAGTTTCAAAATTAACATTTTTTGTCCCTGAAGTTTGAGAAATAGTTCTGAATGGTCCCTGATTTTTTTACTATTATTAACTAATATTATAACGACGTGTGACAAATTGCAATTAAATTGTTTATTGTAGTTACTTATGTGACAAATTATATTAATTAAGTGATATATGTCAGGTATGAATGGTGGACGGCGGTGGCAAAGACGTTGTGGTCGCCGAAAAAGGGTGAGAGAAAGAGAGAGGAAAAGATGAGGAGAGGAGGGAGAAAGCACCATCACCTACACATATATAATTTAATTAATATAATTTATCACATCAGCAACTACAATAAAAAATTTAATTGCAGTTTGTCACGTCATTTTAATATTAGTTAATTAACAGTAAAAGAAATCAAGGACCATTTAGAACTATTTCTCAAATTTGAATGACCAAAAGTGTTCATTTTAAAATTTCAGAGACCAAGTTGACACTTACTTTAAACCTCGAGGACCAAAAATGTTCATTTTGAAATTTCAGGGACCAATTAATTAAACACCTACCTCAAACCTCAGGCACCAAAAGTGTTCATTTTGAAACTTCATGGACCAAATAGACATCTACCTCAAACCTCAGGGACCAGAAATGTATTTTGCCTTATTTTTTATGTAAGTTATAAACTAAAACAAAATATTATTTCGATGTAATCAAAAACCACATAATATAGAATTTTGTAAGGGTAGTTGTAAATATGGCAAAAATATTTAGTAAAATAACAACTTCATTTAGTTTTTTTAAATAGCATTTTTTCCAACAAAAAACGGAAATCCAATTTTAAAATTACAACTTACCCTGCAATACATATGATATACATCTATAATATATCTGCAATATATCTAACTACTGATATTCTTCTGATATACCACTGATAATAATTATATAAAATTGATTTACTTCTGATATAATGATGATATCTACTAAACTTCAAACATTACTTACCACTGATATACGTATGATGACCATTGATTTATCACATCGATACAATATTTATATATATGTGATATAAACTTAATATGTCTCTAATTTACCATTGATATACAAATGATATGTCACTAATATAACTTTGATATCTACTGATATAACTTCTTATATATGATTATATGATTTACTACTAATATAAAACTTATATATATTTAATATATACTTAATATGCTTCTAATTTACCACTAATATATCTTTGATATAACCATGATATAACTATGATACATGTGTGTTGATATAATACTATTATATCCACCATTTTTTCATATGAAAACAATGGTGCAAAAAAAATTTTGAAATATAAAGTTTTTGTATAAAAAGTTTATGTGGATCATGCACGTCCAAAAAAAATGTTAAAAAGCTGATATACCTTATAAATTTAAATAGTTGATATCCCTTACATTTAGTATCTAATTAATATTAATATAGAATCAATAGTAGTGATATAGTAATCAATATTATTGATAATATTAGTATATCAATCAACAAATTACAATGATAAATTAGAATTTAAACAGTTGATATATCTTATATTTAGTATATAATAAATTAGAGATACATCAGAGAGAGAGATATATATATATATATATATATATATATTAGAGGTATAATACATACATAATATAATGTATATGATGGATGTATATATATATATATATATATATATATATATATATATATATATTAGAGGTATAATACATACATAATATAATGTATATCATGGATGTATCTGATAATATATATCAGGGGTACATCGAATGTATATCAGAAGTACATCAAATATATATCAGATATAGATTGAATGTATATCATATACAGATATACATTGGATATATATCAGATACAGATATACACTGGATGTATATCAGATATCATAAGGGTAAAATCGGAATAATAAAAATTTCGAAAATAAAAATTCAAATATTTTGCTATATTTGAAATTTTGAAAAGTTTGTGACATTTTTTGAAATACATATATATTTTTGCTAGCCACAACAATTACCCAATTTTTTAAGTACAAAGTGGGATATTCATATATATAAAAAAAAAATACAATATGGAGTGGAGGATTTGAACTCACGATCTCTGAAAATAACATTAAATTCTTGGGTCCACATCAACTGCAACGTGGGTAAATGCAAGATCCATATCATTCACCCTATGACTTTATGAGAAATGGTTTTTATTAATGTGTATAATTTGTGTTAGAATTGTCAAATCGAACATAGCTCAAGTGGTTAAGACACTTATCTATGATCAAAATGAACTAAAGTTGAAAGTATATTAATCAAAATAGTATTTTAACTACCAAAATATAATTTAAATCTATTTCAGTTTATCGTTTATTCTTAATCTATCAATTTATTTCAACTTAACAAGTTATTAAAAAATTAAAGCATATGATTGTATGTAGCATTAAAATATAGGTTTATTTATAGTAATTACTTGAAGTGAACATACTCAATTTGAAAAGTCCATATATGGATACTTAATGAATAATTAACCTATATATGTTGTACTAGTTATACCTATTTCTAAACTAGAGGCCATGAGTTCAAAGTCTTACTATTACAAGTCTTACTATTACATGTTATACTAAAAAATTTTGAATAATCGACCTATATATGTTGAAATTTATTTCCATGAAACCATAAATTAATTATTTAATCTATGCATCCCTCCGTTTGATTCAATTTCCTTATCATTTAGGTCTTGATTGTAACTATTTCGTTTTTAATTTTCTGTTTTTATATTTTTGTTTGTTTAGTCATAATTTCTTGGATATGCTTTCACACTAAAAAAAAAAATGTTTGAATTCTTAGCTAAATTTAAAATATAAAAAATAAGTTATAGAAAACTATTTTGTTTAGTTTTCAAATTTTATCTAATGTTATGAAAACGTTTTTAAAAATAGATAGTAACCTAAAGAAATATAAGGGTTAAAGTGATGTTTACTAGCTTAATTTTAAGACAGAAAGCCAAAAACAAAATTTTAAGAACAGAAAGCCAAAAACAAAATGGTTATGAAAAATACAGAAAAGATAAAGACTAAGGACTAAGAAAGTGAAGAGATGGAATGAGAAAAAAATGGTCAATATTTGTGCAACAAATTCGGTCATGGTCGAATCTGGTCAACGAAGGCGATTGGAATGAGCTTGGGAATCACTTGGCTAGAAAGCGGTGAGGCGCGACCCACAACAAACAAAGGAAGACATGCATAAGAGAAATAAAGATTTTGATGTTCAAGTCCGTTTAAGTTCTACTTTAGTGTAAAGATTGACAAGTCATTTGATCGAGGGTGAAGTGTTCTATTTATAGGTTGAGGATCCAACAATATTGTCTCGAAAGCCGACCTGTCGAGTGAATAAATTTGGGAATGGGCAAGGCCTTCGGCTGAATAGGGGTTTCCATGTAGTTTTACGGTGAAGTATGAATGTCTTTCTTTGGGTGGTCTTTAGAGGAGATCTAGTCCTTCCGACTTTTCTCTATCCTCTATGTTGCAATACTATATATATATATATATTTTTTTTTTTTTTTGGCTCACAAGAGTCTAGAAAATGAGAGAGACTCGGTGAATAGAGAGATCCAATAAAGAGATTGAGGGAGCAAGAGAGATCTAGAGAGACCATGGGAGTGCGAGAGCAATGAAGATGGAGAAAGTCACTTCATCAAATGACTTTTTCTCCGTAATTTTTCTCAAGATTTCTTTTTGTAGCATTGTTACACTCCAATCGTGCTGTGCATCCATGATTTGTCCATAGTCAACTTTTTTATACAAAGTTTAAAAAATCAGATTTTCTTTTTCCATCAAATGAACACTAAACCAATGGGAGAGCTACGACACTATAGAACACCTTACCACAACTCCCCACCCTTTTTCATCTCAAAAACGACATTTGCCATTTTCTTTGCTTTTCTACTCGACCTGTGTCGTTGAACCACATTCTTGCACAATCTGACATGTCAACCTTCATTGACATGTTAAAAATGAAGATCAGAGACTGAGGATGGGAATGCTTTCACTGAAAGAAAAAAAAGTAGTGATGCCAAAATTTAATATTGGAAGAAGACCCATTGTTTGGTTCCCCTCTGGGTTAAGCATAAAGAAGAGTCCCCAAGATATATGATCTTTTAATTCAGTTCCTGCTCTTTTAAACGTTTAATTTAACAATTTATTTCAACTAAGTTTACATGTCGAAAGTACAAGTATGATGTGATATTAAAATATGAGTTTACTAGTTGGAATTTATTTTTCCCAAATGTATTATGAAAGAGCCATTTCAAATGATATAATCTAACTAATTCTACAGGACACTTTAGAAGATGTGTTTTCTCATTGAAATTACCAAATCAGTGATTCAATATTGCTTCACCAAATACAAATCAGTTTGTTAATCTAAGAACTACTGATGGCATTGGCAGTAACAAAGTTAACAAACAAACTACACCTTCGGCCTTAGCCTCAGCGCCCTCTGCTAACATAAACAGCGGAAACAGCAGCCAGAATTGTTGTTGCTGCAGTCATTATGGTGAAGAAGCTCTTCTTCCGTTCCTCCACTCGTGCGGTCTCGAGACGGTGCTTCATTTCTTCCACCATTTTCTCCTTGTTTGTGAAAGATGTTCTAATGGCATTCAAATGTTCAACAAAGGGCTCAGAAGAAGCTTCCCCTACTCCCTTCTCATAGCCATCACAGACAGCCAAACAAGTTTTCTTCAACAATGCCAAAGCTTTCTCTGAATTAGCAACAGCTGATTTTACCTCAGCTTTCAGATCATCTATTCTACGCTGAGCTTCTAACAAGTTTTTCTCCATTGAATCTCTTTCCCCGACCAAGATATCGATCCGTTTCTCCATCTCCTTCTTTATGTTGAGTGAATCCTCTTGAGAAATCATGGCTTCTACAAGCCTACTCTCCTTGTCTTTGAGTAACAAACTCAGCTTCTCAACACTTCCCTTCTCATCACTGAAACTCTTTCTAGCATCGTCCCTCTCAAATGAAACTTCAACTAAAGCGTCTCGAAGACGACTGATTTCGGAGAGTAATTCCTCATTTCTTGCTTTCTCGACGTCACCCAACTCCGTCAAAGAAGTTATAGCTTCTTTGAGTTTACTCGATTCCCTTTGTAACTCTCCAATGATATTCTCTGCTTCCTTTTTCTTCTCCTCCATTTCAACTTTGTCACGGGTGATTACCTCAATCGTGCGTCGCAAGTTCCCCACCTCCTCTTGGACTAGATTCAAATTCAGCTCAAGTGACTCTCTCTGTTGAGTTAACATCTCCATATCTTTTTCCTTCTTCTGCAACTGTTTGACTAGAGCATCAATCTCCATCAGCATGCCATTTTCCTTCTCTATTGCTTCTTCAGTTCTCTTTTCAATCTCAGAAATTCTCTGTTCATTTTCTTTCTTCTCCTGTTTGAAACTGAATGTACTCTCATTCAATTGAACCACTTCCTTCTCTAACTTCAGAATCTCCATTTGAAGGCCATCCTTTTCCCTCTCAATCTCTACTTTCTCCTTCATTTTCTCTTCCATCTTCCTCTCTAAATCTTCAATCACCACAGCTGACTCGTCCAACAACTTCTTAACAGATTCATTTTCTTTCAACAGAGTCCCATTCACAACCTCAATCTCCATTTTTTCACCCATCAACTTCTCGCATTTCCCCTTCAAACCTGCAATCTCTTCCAATGCCATCCTCTCATTTCTCTCCATTTTCCCTCTCAAATCCCCTGTTTCTTCCAACAACCCATCAAAAGCAATCTTCATCGCATCCCTCTCAGAACGCACTCTCCTCCATTTCTCTCTCTCTTCCTCAACTTTCAAAACAAGTTCATTAACCTCAGCCTTCAATAACCCAATCTCCATTTCCTTCAACCTCTCGCTCTCCCTTTTCTCCGCCATTAACCCACAAATCCCCCCACCCATTTCCTCCATTTGACTCTGCAAGAAAACAGAAACCACATTCTTTTCCAAATCCAACCCATAAATCCCCTCACAGGCCTCACCCAGTTCCCCCATTACCTGATTCTTTTCATCAACATTCCGCTTCAAATCGATCTCCAGAGCGTCCTTCGTCTTAACCAGAGCGCCGACCTCCATTCTCCGCTCGTGGGTCTCCTTCACCAAACGATCATTCAGCGATTTCAAGCTCTGCAACTTCAGCACAGAGTCATCCATGGCGGCTCTGGATTGCTCCGGGTCGCTATCCTCCTGCTGCGGCTGATTCTGCATCTGCTTCGGCTCTTTGGCCACTCGGGTAGCTTTCTTTTTGGCCATTTCTTGATTCTTGAACTTTTGAAGGGATTGCGGCTTCTGAAGATAGGGTTTTATGGTGGAGAAGAAGAGGATAACAAACGGCAAGTTGAGGGGGGAAATGGAGGGTTTTTGGTTTTGGGGTTTGAAGAAGAAACTTTTTGGGGAATTTGAAAATTGCTTCGGTTTTAGGAGAACCGTTTAAGAGATGGAGAACTGATTCGGTGTGGACTTTTCTAGGATAGCTTAATTTAAATTCGCCTATACGTTCCTGCCACGTGTCGAATCTATCCACGTGTGTGAGTCTAATTGGGTAACGCGGGTCCCACTCCCGTTCCATTAATTTAGTACATGAATATGAAATTTAGAGTCTTAAATGTAATGCCAAATGCACATGATCTTGGTTTTTAAATTGGTATTTGTACCGACAATATTTTATTTACTCTGTAAAAAAACTGTAATATCTGTGACTTTTCAGAAGAAAAAAAAGGACAAAGTAAAATTCATATATTTTTTTCACAATAAATATTAGAAGCATAGTGACTTATAATATACAAAACTTACAAAATATTATTAATGTGAAAATAAATACTATTGGTAAGAAATCTTCACTCGCTTATAAAGTGTGAAAGGTGTATTTAGAAAATAATTGTAAACAAATGTGCATTGAAAGATATCTAAAAATAATGTGTGTTAAAAAGAGGGTAAAATGCATATTTATTAATTCAAATAAATTTTAAGAATTTCTCGATTTTTTATTATTTTTTTTAAGAAGATCCATCATCAATATTTCCTAAAATTGAAACGACATGAAAATTTTATCAACATCTAGATTGAAATTTTTTTAGTTTTGTAGTTCCAACATTAAATCCTCAATGGAAAGATTGGTTAATGATTTTTGGAAAAATATCTATTTTATGAATTTCTTAATTTATCATGATTATTTCAAAAACGACCGCCGTCAATTTGAAGCATAATATTTTCATCAACATATATAACTCAATGATTATAAATTATAATATATTATTTTTTCTTTGAGAGGGTTCAATTCCTCGTCCACATATTTGTGGCATAAAAAACATAATTTTTTTAGTCCAATATTTAAACCATTGATGGAAAGATTGGTTAATGATTTTCTAGAAAAATATTAATCTTTTTATAATTTTTATAATTTTTCATGATTTTTCAGAAATTATCTTTTTAATATTTCCATGAGCACTGAGGGATAGTATTTTCATAAAACAGAAATATATACATAATTTTATATGCATGTATGAAGGTATGTATGTGTATATGATTGGTTGGAGTTCTAATATTTAAACCTTGGATAATAAG